CGAGACATGGAAGTCATGTAAAACTCGAGAGAAGGTTCAACCCCCTCCCAATAAATATCGCTGGGCCTTATTAATTAATACAGTATAGATCTATGTGCGAGAATATAAGCAAGTTTGAAAAAAAAAAGCGAAGTACTGTCAAAAGATTCCAGGAGGGTGAGGTTCAACCCCCATACGATAAAAAAAAAATATATATCCATATAGTTAGGCCTTCTATAGTTCGTCCATCGTGGTTCGATGATGACCACTTTTTTTTAAATTTGACTTTTTTTTTTCTGATGCTTTTCTTCTGCCAGCGCCGTTCTCTTGTCCTCTGCAATTTGTGCGCCAGTTTTCACAGCGCTTCTGTCTCCCAGGTGGCTGGGTCAATGCTGAAGGCTTTCAGAATGTCTCTAAAGCGTTTTCTTTGTCCACCTTGTGAGCGCTTGCTTCCCTTAATTTGCCACACAGGAGTCGTTTAGGGATGCGACGCTTTCTGAAGACGTGTCCTGTCCTTCGCAGCTGGGGCTTTATTAGGATTGAGTTTGAGTTTTTGGCACAATCGGCACTATTCAGGCCATGTCGTTCCCGTAATCCTTCTCCTTTACAAGAGCTAAATTCCATAGTTAAATCATTAAAAACAAGGTCTATTCACAGTTAAAATAGTAAAGGTAGTAAAAATTTAATAATTTGGTAAAAATCTTATGTAAATATTATATGTTCACAATTCATAAATCAGATCTTCGTAGACAACCCTACCTCCCGGACAAAGCCCAGTACCTTCCCAGGGTCGACATTATCGAATAGTGTTTTTAAGTTGTGTGCTCTAAAACATTTCTCCCTGACATAGTTTGCAGGTAGAGCGTTAAGATGCGAGTGTGTCAATAAGAAAAAAAATCCTCAGGAGATGGTTTCTGCTGAAAACCAGTATATGGTATTTTAAATACCGTATATCGATATTGAATTGAAAAAAAAAAGGGTGGGGGGTTTTCGATAAAAAAAAACAGTATATAGGACATATACTGTGGCATAGCAAACACACTTGGACCTAATGAACTTGTGGCACTGCAAACACACTTAGACCTTATGAACTTGTGGCTAAGCAAACACAATTGGACTTTATGAACTTGTGGCACAGCAAACACACTTGGACCTAATGAACTTGTGGCACAGCAAACACACTTGGACCTAATGAACTTGTAGCACAGCAAACACACTCGGACCTAATAAACTTGTGGCACAGCAAACACACTTGCAGCTTATGAACTTGTGGCACAGTAAACACACTTGGACCTAATGAAGTTGTAGCACAGCAAACACACTTGGACCTAATGAACTAGTGGCACAGAAAACACACTTGGACCTAATGAGCTTGTGGCACAGCAAACACACTTGGACCTAATAAGCTTGTGGCACAGAAAACACACTTGGACCTAATGAACTTGTGGCTCAGCAAAAGCACTTGGACCTAATGAACTTGTGGCACAGCAAACACACTTGGACCTAATGAACTTGTGGCACAGGAAACATACTTGGAGCTTATGAACTTGTGGCACAGCAAACACAATTGGATCTAATGAACTTGTAGCTCAGCAAACACAATTGGATCTAATGAACTTGTGGCACAGCTAACACACTTGGACCTAATGAACTTGTGGCACAGCAAACATACTTGGAGCTTATGAACTTGTGGCACAGCAAACACAATTGGATCTAATGAACTTGTGGCTCAGCAAACACACTAGCAGCTTATGAACTTGTGGCACAGTAAACACACTTGGACCTAATGAAGTTGTAGCACAGCAAACACACTTGGACCTAATGAGCTAGTGGCACAGAAAACACACTTGGACCTAATGAGCTTGTGGCACAGCAAACACACTTGGACCTAATAAGCTTGTGGCACAGAAAACACACTTGGACCTAATGAACTTGTGGCTCAGCAAAAGCACTTGGACCTAATGAACTTGTGGCACAGCAAACACACTTGGACCTAATGAACTTGTGGCACAGGAAACATACTTGGAGCTTATGAACTTGTGGCACAGCAAACACAATTGGATCTAATGAACTTGTAGCTCAGCAAACACAATTGGATCTAATGAACTTGTGGCACAGCTAACACACTTGGACCTAATGAACTTGTGGCACAGCAAACATACTTGGAGCTTATGAACTTGTGGCACAGCAAACACAATTGGATCTAATGAACTTGTGGCTCAGCAAACACACTAGCAGCTTGTGAAATTGTGGCACAGCTAACACACTTGGAGCTTATGAACTTGTGACACAGCAAACATACTTGGACCTAATGAGCTTGTGTCACAGCAAACACACTTGGAGCTTATGAACTTGTGGCACAGCAAACATACTTGGAGCTTATGAACTTGTGGCACAGAAAACACACTTGGACCTAATGAACTTGTGGCACAGCAAACACACTTGGACCTAATAAACTTGTGGCACAAAAAACACACTTGGACCTAATGAGCTTGTGGCACAGGAAACACACTTGGACCTAATGAACTTGTGGCACAGCAAACACACTTGGACCTAATAAACTTGTGGCACAAAAAACACACTTGGACCTAATGAGCTTGTGGCACAGGAAACACACTTGGACCTAATGAACTTGTGGCTCAGCAAACACACTTGGACCTAATGAACTTGTGGCACAGCAAACACACTTGGACCTAATGAACTTGTGGCACAGGAAACATACTTGGAGCTTATGAACTTGTGGCACAGCAAACACAATTGGATCTAATGAACTTGTAGCTCAGCAAACACAATTGGATCTAATGAACTTGTGGCACAGCAAACATACTTGGAGCTTATGAACTTGTGGCACAGCAAACACACTTGGACCTAATGAACTTGTGGCACAGCAAACATAATTGGACCTTATGAACTTGTGACACAGCAAACATACTTGGACCTAATGAGCTTGTGTCACAGCAAACACACTTGGAGCTTATGAACTTGTGGCACAGCAAACACACTTGGACCTAATGAGCTTGTGGTACAGAAAACACACTTGGACCTAATGAACTTGTGGCACAGAAAACACACTTGGACCTAATGAGCTTGTGGCACAGCAAACACACTCGGACCTAATGAGCTTGTGGCACAGCAAACAATTGGATCTAATAAACTTGTGACACAGCAAACACACTTGGACCTAATGAACTTGTGGCACAGCAAACATAATTGGACCTTATGAACTTGTGGCACAGCAAACACGATTGGACCTAATGAACTTGTGGCACAGCAAACGCACTCGGACCTAATGAGCTTGTGGCACAGCAAACACACTTGGAGCTTATGAACTTGTGACACAGCAAACACACTTGGACCTAATGAGCTTGTGGCACAGCAAACACACTCGGACCTAATAAACTTTTGGCACAACAAACACACTCGGACCTAATAAACTTGTGTTAACAAACAAAATGTAGGCTCAAGGCGCTGTAACAACATTACAAACACAAACACAAGAGCTAACATGACAAACTAATCTAAAAAAGTTTTAAACAGATAGGTCTTAATGTTCTTCTTAAAGTGTTGTAGCATGTTGTCTGTCTGAGATCAATGGGGAGTGAGTTCCAAACCTTTGGTCCGTGAACTGAAAAAGCCCGCAGACCGTAGCTTTTGAGGGAGAAACGTGGCACTACTAAAAGCGCGTTGAGTCCATTGAGCGCAGGGCTCTCTGAGGGACATATGGAGTAATCAGTTCTCTAAGGTACAAGGGCATCTCGTTGTTATATATACACTGATGACAAAGTGTGGCGACCTTGTAATCGATTCTCGCTTTCACGGGAAGCCAATGGAGCGTGCGCAAGAGCGTAGTAGCAGAATCTTGTCTATTTTTTTTTAAAGGACTATTCGAGCGGCGTTGTTCTGTATACGTTGCAGCTTGGCTATGTTGTCATCAGGTATACCTGCTAGCACGGCGTTGCAGTAGTCAAGGCGGGAGAGTATGAATGCCACATCTAGCGTTTTTGTTGACTCCGTTGTTAAATATGGTCGGATCTGGCCTAATCTGCGCAGCTGCAGATAAAGACCTTTGCAGAGCTGACTTATGTGCGGGTCGAAAGATAGTGTTGAGTCGAAGAAAACTCCAAGATTCCGCACTACATGGACAAAAGGAACATGGCAGTTCGTGATAAAGAGAGAATCTGTGCTTTCAACTTTTGAGACATTGTTCCTAGTGCCAATCTTAATTATTTCTGTCTTGTCTTCGTTCATCTTGAGTTTATTTTCAACCATCCAATCGCTCACCCTTGCAGCGGTACTACTGATTTTCTCTGCAAGATGCGACACCTCTGAGGGTACTGATGAATCGTATAACTGTGAGTCATCGGCAAAGAAATGGTATAAGATACCGGTTGGCCTAGAACTGATCCTTGGGGTACTCCGTACTTCAAAAGTAAGCTTGTTGATTCCGTCTCGCTAACAACGACACTTTGGGTGCGTTCCGTCAGGTAAGATCCAAGCCACTTTAGGACGACTCCTGCTAAACCATAAGTTGCAGAGAATCTGGCCATCGTAATTTCATGGTCTAGCGTATCAAAGGCTGAGGACAAGTCCAGCATGGAAAGAATTGATATGTGGCCTTTGTCGGAATTGTGAAGCAAGTCGTTTAGTACCCTGACCACTGCTGTCTCTGTGCTACGGCACTTCCTATATGCAGATTGAAATTCTTTCAAGAGACAGTACTGTTCAAGATGAGAAAGAATTTGCGCTAACACGATGCGCTAACACGATGCGCTCCAGAAGCTGACAGGAGGGGAAGATTTGATACCGGGCGATAGTTTTTTTGACATTCCGGATCAAGACTGGATTTCTTTAAGATGACTATTTTGGTCGAATTAAAAATGACGAGGAAGGAATTATATGGAGCTCAATGAGAACGTGTATTAGGATGGATCACCTTTTGTTTTGAGAAGCTATGACAATAATTATTTTAAAAAGACATGGCTCGATGTTACCAACTGTTTGAGATTGATGAGTCCAACACAAAAAGTTTTGTAGTGTTTTATTTCCGAGTGTTGAGAACATTATGGAACAGAGAGAGATCTAGATCTAAATAGCATGTCTGAAACACTGACAACAGATGAGACAGACAATATCACACCATTAGATTTGAGTACACTAGCTAACTAACCATGAAAAGATGGATTCCAGAATCACATCAACTGAAGTGTTGCTATGGTGACAACAGCAGTGAGTCTTACATCACTGACTTATAAAAAGTGATAAATATATTAATTAATGGAAGGTCATTGCTAAAAGTATGTAAGCTAAAAATTCAAGTCATTGTATATACCGGTATAATAAATTAAATAGTAAAATAAAATAAAAATTGTCGAATATATCTAATTAACAATAAAACGTGGAGTTAGTGAACATTTAGGAAATTGATTAAAAAAAAATAATTTTGTGCACAAATCAATGTCCACTGAATCTAAGAGAAACAAATATTGCCATGGCAATACAAACATCTCTGTACATAGCAATACATCTATTCAATACATCATTGAGTTTTGGAAGAGCATTAAATAAAACAAGACTTTTGTATACCTTGAACTGAGTTCCCTGTACAACTAACAAATACATTCAATATTTATTGCTCAATATGTGAAGCAGTTCTAACCTGACCAAAAACAACTAAGCTGAGCAATGTAGACAACAAATGATAATGTGAATAAACAAATATTGAGCAGAGTGTCCAGCACAAAGTTTGGAGACATTAGTTTGACACTGGTCAGATTCCAAAACAACATGTCAAAAACATAGGACTGCTCAAATAAAAAGAAACACTACAAAAGTTCTAACAAGTGATTTGATTGAATCAATGAACAAAGGGGAAGAACAAACCAGGTTCTGAATCAATCAGTGTGTTGACATTAAACATGCATTCATTTTAAACATTAGAAAAGTAATGAGTTTCAGTACAAAATAATGGTATCTAACTCTATTTACACATACAAACATTGAAACCAAACAAACCTATCAAACAAACCTAAAATGTTCCAAGAGGTTTTTGTTTTAATGAAATGAAACAGCAATCACTATTTTATTTTAAAATGTTAGCTACCTATTACTAACAACCTTGACCTTTTATTAATTTTTCAGAAAGGCTTAAAACATTGCTTCATGGGGAACAGTTAGCTCTATCCCAAAGGAACTTAATATATAGTCCATTTAGGCACAGAGTCATCACCAGGAGCCATATACAACTCTAAGACCACTGGAAAGGATTTCCTCCAATGATTTGGAATGAGGAAGTCACACATGCATGCACACACACACACACTGTCTCCACTAGCATTGTTGCTTAGTTATGTGTGAATTTTAATTGTAGTCTACCACTTTCGAAATTAGGGTTCTTATCAGTTCATAGTTCACACCTAGTTACAATGTTTCTCTTGAAGCAGACTTCTCACATTCCAGAAAGATACATGAAAATTGTATGAATTGTCTTAAATGAGCCTATCATGTAGTTCAATTGATACAGTAAAAGATCTTCTATTAAGCTCAAGTTCTGTTTACAAGAAATGCTACTTACATTTCATGCGAAAAAGAAAAAGTCATTCTAAATGTGTTTACTTTGGAGGTGTATGAAGTGTATACACTATACAATTGTGTACAATTTAATGTAGAGATTATAAAAAATATGGAATCATTTGCCAGTGTTATGAATGACTATTCCTTTTTAAAAGGAAAATAAATCATTTGTGAATACTGCTGTAGTTACCAGGGAATAAAAATTGCTAACATTTTTTTTTTTACTTATGTATGCTTTTGACTATACATTTTATTTTCAGGTAAACATGAACTATTTGGTTTCAATTCATTTGAATGACCAGAAAAGTAAAATGAGCATACATCAACCCAAATAGAGTTGAAAAATTAAAACAACAGATCACAAATTACAAAAGAAACCCAAAAATAAGACATTGCTTAAATAAAATATTACATATCATAATATATATATGGCACTAATGTTATAATATTATGTGCCACCATAAAATGAAAGCAATTAGGGGTCTATTTGATTTTTTTTTTTAATTTATACAGCTAGATGGATGATCAATTAAATGATCAAAAGACTAAATATCTTAAACTTCAGAATTAATGTAAATATCTCAAACCTCAGAATTAACGTAAATATCTTAAACCTTAGAATTAATATCCTATAGCATGACACATTTTCATTAGTAGGTGGATTAGCATTATCATCTGCTTGTACAGAATACCTTGATTTTAAAAAGCATATAATAATTTGTGTGCAATATTGAACACTGTAGAATGAGAATAAAGCATCAGGAAATCATACAAGTGTCCTTGACAGTGTTTAGTTTTTCTATTTGTTTCTAAATTGCTCCAAATCTTTGTTCATTTTGGTGGTACAACATTGTCTATCCCAGTCAAATGTCTTCATATCACTGTTTCTATCTGAATGTATTGCTTCCAGAATGTCAACTTATCTGACCAAGAATGTTAACTTATCTGACCAAGAATGTCAGCTTAATCTGACCAAGAATGTCAACTTATCTGACCAAGAATGTTAACTTATCTGACCAAGAATGTCAGCTTAATCTGACCAAGAATGTCAACTTATCTGACCAAGAATGTCAGCTTAATCTGACCAAGAATGTCAACTTATCTGACCAAGAATGTCGGCTTAATCTGACCAAAAATGTCAACTGACAGTGATGGGAACTGACTTTGCAAAAATTTTAGGAAATTTTGTAAGCGCCCTGAGCATTCTATAATAGATAACTGCTTTACAGATATTGTAACAACTTCTTTCTCAAACAACTATAAGGATTAAATGTGTTTGAAAAACATGCTTGAGTTTTGGAAATACTTCAAAAGTATGAGCTACACTTCTGTTTGTTTCACTAATTATTTTAATTTTGTACAGGAGAAACTGTTTACTAAGCTTTGCACATGAAGTCCACCAAAAATGCTTTGAAAAGCAATTGAGAGAAAGCTGCTGAATCTCAGCTGAGTTCTTAAGCAAGATGAGCAAGAACAACCAGATGAGGAGCAATGCTTAGAGGAAGAGAATGTTTAGCAATAAAACTGCATATTGAGACTTCCTTGTGTGACTCTTTTTCATGCTGATACAAGTTGTTTAGAAGAAGTGGATCTCTACCACACTGGGCCTTTATAGCATTAGTAATGACAAGTTATTAGTTAGAGAAAATTGTTAAACTTTTATATTAAAATATATATATATATCCCTCACTATAAATAGATCTATATCTAGAGCTACTTATATCTAATAACTTGACTCTAGATCCAATATATTATTATTAGATATCTACATTCTATCAGGCTTATACTCAGTAACTCACTATAGTCATGTAAAGAAGTTTAAGAAGGCCTACTACTATATAAAAAAAGTATATTCTATATATATATCCAGAAGGCCAGTAGGTCTATCACTCTATTAGATGAGTAGATCTAGATATTATTATTATTATAATAGATCTAGATGTCTAAATCTAATCCCATTTCAACTCATGGAAGTCGACAGGCAGGGTTCAAATTAGAAAAAATAATAGATCTAGAATTGTAGTAATAGCGGTGATTAGCACTACATAGCGACCGGGCATCATTCATGATATTAACTTTAAGTTTAAGTCTAATACTTTTCAAAAGCTGGCAAGCAGCCATTGAAGTCTAGATGCTCTAGATCTAGATCAAAAGTATTCAAATTAAAGAATCTAGATATCTTATCTAGAATATATCTATCTAGATCTAGACTGATTCAAACCACTCTAGTCTGGACCGAGATCTAGACTTATAAGACAATATGGTAACACAAATTTAAAAAAAAAAATAATAGAACTTTAACTGTGTCAAAGGACCGGATGTGCGCATGTTCAAAACAAATCAGAAATCTTATTTCGCATTCTTCCAAAACTGAAAAAATAATAAAATCGAATTTTTTTTTTCATAACAAAAATTTAAAAAGAAATAAAAATGAATTTTTAAAAAAAAAAAGGTCTGGAAAACTTCGGATTTTTTTGCTGGAAAATTGGATCAGAAGAAATTATCTGAATTCCGACAATTGTCGGAAAATTCCCATCACTGAACTTATCTGACCAAGAATGTCAGCTTATCTGACCAAGAATGTCAGCTTATCTGACCAAGAATGTCAACTTATCTGACCAAGAATGTCAGCTTAATCTGACCAAGAATGTCAGCTTATCTGACCAAGAATGTCAGCTTATCTGACCAAGAATGTCAGCTTATCTGACCAAGAATGTCAACTTATCTGACCAAGAATGTCAACTTATCTGACCAAGAATGTCAGCTTATCTGACCAATCCAAATGTTAACAGAGAGCAGAAGACAAACTAAGGATGCAAATCTCTTTAAGTGCTGAAGTCTGATGGGGAAAATTATTGAATCAAAGTTAAGAAATGTTGACTATGAATTAACTTTACACTTTGACAACATAAATACTTAAGACTCATTACAAAAACTTTGAGTGATTTATTCAGAAGTTTTAAAACAAAAATCTGAATAGAAAACAACAAAACAAAATTATGTCTGTGTATATGGTCCACAGAGGTTTTGCTTTGATTGTATAAATAGCACACTACTCTTGTAGGCTTTCAGTTCCAGTGTATAATACCATTTATATGTATAGTCCACAAAGCTTAAGTTCAATTCAATAAATAAAAGTGCAAAGTGGATCAATATTTTTCTAGAAAATTACAACATAACTGTACACAAAGATGCCTCAATACTTACATAGTAATATCAACTGAATATAATAGTGAACAAAAAAAAGGTTGAATTGTAATGAACACATCCTAAAAGAGATCAATTCAATAGAATGAAGAGGTGAGTAACAAGTCATATTTTTTTTAAAAGCTGGTGAAAACTATCCTAACAATGGACAGAGTGACAAAATGGTAGATGGTTTAATAACAAAGTCATTTCCTTTTAGTTGTATTGCTTATCTCTTCCTTCTAAGGTCCTGTATATCCTTGGGCCAGTTTTCCTAGGAAAAAAATGGTAACATGGAATCAATTATTTTATATACAAATGACATGAAACTATTCATTTTAATATTTTTTATCAATCTGATTGCTTATCTACAATCAATGCAACATTGTGAAGTTTCTGGTAGAAAGATTCTTTGACATGATGTAGATGTTTATATTCTGCAGTTTGTTGTAATGATCATTATGGTATTTATACAATCAAAACTATTTCATGTTTCAAAGTTATTCTTTAAATGTACCATGCTTTGTTTTTGGTTGACAATTATGTTTCTGTTAGATATTTTAAGGAGTTTTAGTACATATTTTGAACGTCATGATATTTTGATCTTTCCTGTAAACTTTATAACATATCTAAGACGACTCTACATCATGATGTTTCCTGTTAAATGTGTAACATATTTTAATAGATTGTATATCATGATATTTCTTGCTAAGTTGTTTAACTTATCTAAGAAGATTGTGCATTTGAATTTACAACAATTCTGGATTGGGCGGGGGGGGGGGGGGGGGGGGAGATTAAAAAACAACTAGGGATTTGTATATCATTCGATATAAAAACCTATCCCTAACAATGTCAAAAGAATAAGTGTTTAGTGACTGCTCAAAAGAATTTTCAATTTCATGAATTTTTAAATGAATTAAATTGTGTGTCCTTGGTATCAAAATGAAATAAAGAAAGTCAAGACAAAGTGCAGTCAAAACTACATTTGGAATAGAACAAATCTTGTTAACATGAAAACTCTATAGGGGTAGGAATTGAACAGGATATTTTCCATAGAACCAGACAAGAAATAGAAGAAAAAAAGCAGAAAAAAAAAAAGGAATGAACCTGAAAATTTGCACCATTTAGAAGAAGGCAGTATAAAGAATAGATGACATTGTCAACAATATTTGGAACAACATGTTAGTCAGGATACAAAGACAAAAGTCTTATTAGGAAAAAAAAGTAGCACTGCCACATAAATCAGGTAGTCCATTGATATCCCAATCATAATACATTAATTACATTAAAGTGTATTGCACTGTTATGTATTTTTATCACATATCTGGATCACAAAAACTTTGGTCATGAAATAATTTGATGAAATGGCATTGTGTACAAAGATGAAGATTCCCCAAGAATCAACCATATACTAAAGCACTGCTTTGTCAGACAGGTTAAAATCAAAATATTAAAACTGGAAAGTGAAAAAGTTTTACAGCTAACACAAGACATATTCTTGACGGGGTTCAGCTTCATTTTTCACATTTTCAAGATCTCAATTTTAGATATTTAGTTGAGTCAAAGACTGACTAATCATAGAATTCTTCATAAGAAAACCTTTAGGCTTACAATAAATGACTAGAAACATTCTAAAATGATTGTGCTGTGAAAAGTCAATAAAAAAGTTTTTTAAAAAGTCAATAAACTCAACTAAAATTATTCAATTTAAAACTTCAGTGAAATTATTTTTCTCATTTTTTTCTTTTCCAAATGTTTTATTTCTTGAGCTGTCACTAAAGCTTATTCATAATTTTATAACAAAGATTTACTGACACCACAAATTTAAATGGTAACCTAAAAAAAAAATAAAAAATGAAACATCACAATGTTTCTAGTAGAGAGAATAAAAGTTTGTCTAGATCGTACATCACAATGGTTTTTTTTTAAATATATTTTTTTTAAAGATTTTTGTGAGGATATTTTGCAAAAAGAAATTTGATTTTTGCTTAAAGTGTTTTTCAGTATACTGTGATCCACATTTCCTACATTTAGCACAGCCCAAATTTATTTTGCCCAAAAACTTGGAGCTCTCATCAGAATTAAAGCCTGCAATTATCCGTTCAAAAGCTATGGATTTGATATTGCCAAGCTATCAGGTCTTAACAATCAGATATTTAGAAGCGAGAATATTGTAAATCGTGAGACTTCCTTTAAATGAACATTTTTAAAATTCTGTTCATTCCTCTAGTTAGAAATGTTAATCCTCTTGTCTTTCTTTTAGAAGTTTGATTTTACTCCAGTCTCTTATTATTTCTTACATCAGGATGTTTCCTCAAGTTGACATTTGTCTTCTTGTTCCAACACAGGTATGTTCCTATCATCTTTAGCAAGACCTGTTGTAATGGCCACCTCTTTGATCTGTAATAGAAAATATTTACTATTTCAAAGTTTCATTTATTTTATCTACTACCATAAAATTACTACAAAAAATCAATACACTGGTTCAACAAACCTGAAGCAGTAATTGTTTTATTTTTCTCATTAATAATTATTCCATGAAATCACAAGAACAAAATTCCTCGAAAGAAGTGGATGGGAGATAAATTTTCCATTATCCTTCTAGTGTTCTTCACAAACCTTTTCCCTCAGAAATGTTGTTTGTGAAGTAGAGCATCTGAGACACCTGCTAGTATGTCAAGTATATTTCTTCTCTAATCCCATTTTCAGCATTAGTTACAAATTAATGAAATTTCTGTACCATTGTCAGTATATCTAAATCAATTGTGAACATCAGCTGACTTAAAAAATAAACTAAATAAATG